CTTCAGCTCCATAAACTCTGGCTATAAATCCTTTCCATGTGAGCAAACCTCTTTACTTTTAGCTTTAACTTTAAGGCAGCTTTGCATTTCCTGTATTAAAGAAAAGGCCGGCTGTCTTTCTTATATTTCTGTTTATTAGTGAAGGTGAATAAGATACCTCCTCGGCTACATTTTGTTAACACGTTGAAGCTTGTCAGTGTTTGAGATTTTTTTAAAGACTATAAACAGCATCTTTATTTCACTAGGAGGGCTGAAAAAATTGTTAAGAACTTTAGCTCTTTGTAAGATGGCTTTGAGTGTTTAGGTAGTTCTCAGTCACATAGTACCTGTATACTCTATCAAGTTATAAAGCTGTATGTAGGAGTTTGAATATGATTTTCCTTATGTTTTAAATATTACCAGGTGTAAGGCACCTGAAAGCAGGAGAGAGTTTGCAAAACGTAAAAAGCAGTGATTAGTAGACAATCGTTTTCATTTTCTCTTGCAATCTCTCTATAAAGTGCTGGGTTTTTCCCCCAAGATAGACTGCTAGATTTTTTAAAAATGTTTTTCTTTCCTTTATGCTGAGAGCCTTCATGGCCTGCAAAAGCATTTTGATACTGATCACTTTCATTTATCTAAGGATGTTTATTATCAGAAATAATAAATGTCATTTTGTAATAAATTGCAGCATTATAATTTCATAAGCTTCAACACATCAAATTCTTAATATTAAAAATATTTTTATATGTAGGTCCTGAATAATTTCTTGAGCAAGACCACAAGAAGTATAGTTTGGAAATGTTTATTCATTTAACTGGTTTTCTTACTATATCTCTTCCCTGATTTTCCAGTGATAAATTCTGCTATACAAGACATTTCATGTTGTACTTAGGTTTCAAAAATAATGATAAGCATTACCTTATTATATCTATTGATGGCTGTGTTCACAATGAAAACATTGTTTCCTTTTGTTGTTGGAATTTGACACTTCGAATGATGAATTGTGTTACCAGTCTTAATTCCTTCACTGTTATTTCTGTGAAGCTCAAGCTGCATTTATGAGTGATTTATAATTTCTTCATTTATTACAAATAGGATCACTTACTGAATTAGTTCAACATAACCTCACTGAACAATATTGGTAGAAAGGCCTTTTAATAATAATAATAATTCATTTAAAAATCAATCTGAAGTTGCATACCATGCATCTCTCATCAACAGATAAGAACCTTACATTGTATGATATTACAAAAATCCCATAATTATTTTATTTTTTATTTTATTTTTTTATTTAATTTATATGCCGCCCACTCTACCCAGAGGTCTCTGGGCAGCTTACAATAATTTTATTCTTTGTTTTTATGTATCTGTGTTAATCATGTGTCTAAAGAAGTAGCATCAGCATGATAATGGTGCTATACACAATATATTGCATGTATAAATTCTTTTGGAAGTGAGCCCCACTGAACAAAGTGAAACTTCTAAAGATTAGCAAGGATTATATATATCATATAATAAGTTGTGTTGGGGAGGTGTTGTCTAATGATACATATTAACAAACTTATGTTTAACATCCATGCACATTGATGGAGCTATAGCAACACATGTGCACAAATGTTTCAACTGCACTTATGTTTATTCAAATCCTAAATGCCATATCATTGAATCTCTGCCTTTAGCCCTTTGCTAAAACAAAGTGTACATGTTAAAACAACTCTCTTGAACCTTTCATGGGAAACTGAACTTTTCTGTACACAGAATCATAATTCTGATGCAAAGATAATCTGTATGTACTGTTCTCAAGAACAAGCCTGTCCCCATTTTCTCCAAAGCTTCAAAAGAAAAATATATACATCCTCTCTAGCCGGTTTGTTCCCTTACTGAAGGCTTATAATTAGTAGGTTATTATTTTTTGTTTCTGTTTGCTTAGATTTCTTGGTGTACAATTCACATGCCCTTTAACAATTTGATTATATTTGCATCAACTTGTTCTAGAAATAGCCAAGTCTCTTCTGTGTCATAATGCTAATTATGCCTGGAGAAGACAGACCATAAGCTTAAATGAGTCAGGCACCATGTACATTAGACGGAAAGTCCCTTAATTATGTGTTTTAGTTTCATTTAGAATATGACTATGACTACAGTATATTCTATCTTCTGTTAAACCTAAAGAAGAATGTAAATAGAGATAATGGTTTCATTTATAATTCAGCTAATATGGCTAATTAGTATATCAGTAACTATAGCTTGGTTAGTATACTGTATTGACCTTAACCAAATTAGTCAAAAAGGCTATATGGAGTCTGTGGCTAGTTCTAACACTCTTTAAAGTAACACTCTCATTAATAATCTCAGTTTTCCAGCCAATTTTGTATCCACCCTCTGATAATTCATTCTAGTTCAAAGGTCCCATGCTTTCTTAGGAAGTAATGCAATATTAAGTTCAAATCCTAGTGATAAGCAAGCTATCTATTGCCCATAATAATTATATCCATCACTAAACAAGGCACTGCTTTAAAAGAGAAAATTCTGGCAATAATGGTTCTTGTTTATTAAAAACGGACTCTTGGACAGCTTCTTTTCCTCTAGGTAATTATGTATTCATATGCTTGATTTGCACTCATAAAACTGGGATTTGTTGGTCAAAGAATCCATGAATTAAGGGCACTTTAAAAAAAAAGCTGTTATAGTATTCATGGATGATTGTAATATGGAATTAATTAATAGTTGATGTTCAGGGTGGGCCTTTTTTGTAATGATGAATAGGAGCTTCTGTGTATTAAGTTGATCTTACAGTTTCTTCATAATTTAAAAAAAAATCATCATAAAATATTGGCTATATGCACAATTTAAATTTTATGAATTACGTAAAGCAGGATATATCACTCATCAGGCAATTCTTAATAGCTCTCAGGAATTGGAATTTTTGACCTTGATTCTTTCTCCATTTAGGAAAGAGAGAGAAAACCTCTATGTATTTAATATTTGGTTCTCTATTATTTGGGAAAAAAGGGTGTAGTTCAGATGACTTTCAGAACTGTTTTATTTCACTGACTTTTGCAAATTTAACTATCCAAAGCTTCTTTAATCCGTTTTCTCATTTTCTTGATAATGAAAATATAGAAAATAATTAGATACATACCAATTCAAGTGCATGAATATAGGCCTCTTTTTTTACAACTAAAACCAAATAACTGGAGTAAGATGGTTATATTTTGTTTTAAATTTATTCTTTTAACATAGGACTCACATGTTATATCTGTAATATTGCATATTACTGCTGTTTAAGCTTGTTGAAGTTCAAAAGCAGTTTGCCATGTCAAATGAGAACTGGTATTGGAGGGAGGATAGCAGCTTAAAAACCCGTGGGCTCATGATAGCAGTTCCATTATTTTTGGACCCTCACTGTGGTTAACTTGACACTATATTATTATTGATATAGTGTGAACCTTGGCCTTAGCTTGGCAGTTGCAGAAATCATTCACAATTGGTGCTTCTTCATAGTCTCCAGCTATTAACAATTTGCCATGACTTTGGTGGGAGAATCAGATATTTCAAATTACAGACTGAATTAAAGAAAGTAGCACAGAACTCTTAAGTAAACTGCTATCTATTCAACTTCAGGCATATATATTTTTATTTGCCCAGAGTTTTAATGGTTGAACTGTGATGATTTTATTGCTTTTAATCTTTGCTATTTTAATGGATTTTAAAAATGATATTACCTTTTCATCTGCTTTAGTTTAGTTGAATAATTTATCTGGAGAAAATTTGTAATGAAGGGCCTTAAAGAAATATTTGAAGTAGTTAGGTAAATTATTTGTGAACAGTAGTTGTTAATTTTTGAAAAATTCTTTGCTGAGAGACAGAACAGCTTTAAAAAAATTAAAATGAAACTGTTTTTCACCGAGTAAGAGAAAATACCTGAGAAGTGGGTAATTTCAGTGCATGGAAATACCCATATATGAAACAGTATGGTATAATGGCTAGAAAACACCACTTTGGATCTCTGTTAAGCCATGAGTTCACTGAATAATCTATGGTAAGACACCATCTCCTGATCTTTATTATTAAACACATTTGTTTGAAGCTTACATGCTACATTGAACTCTAAAGGATGAGAGCAATAAGCTCTTAAAACGTACTTTTAAAATGTTTTCTTAAAACTTGCCTATTGGTCTAATTATATATCCTCTTAATACCAAGACATCTTAACACAACATGTAATTTCACTGTAATTCTACCTGAGTATGAAATAGATTCATACAGAGTATTTAAATAAAACTTAAAACACAGTATATAATAGACAAATATAATTTTATTTAGCCATAAATATTCACATGCAGGCAAATAAGATGGTTCATCTGGCCTATAATATTATCTGAATATTTTTATTGTCATCAAACATGGATAGATGAAAAGCTCACAGATAGTCTTAAACGTGACTCAGAAGTACTAAGTCCCACAATTTCAGTGAGGTTAACTTCCAAATAAGTTAGCATCAGTATTGTATTTAGCTTAAGCCATACCCATTACATTTCTGTCTTTTAAAATTTCAAGAAAGCACCAGTTTCCTTTCTTCTTTAATATTATTCCCTTTTCCAGGTTTCAGTTGTACACATGAACAACGCAAAGTAAATGTAACTTTCAATTGTACAAATATGAATGCAAACTAAAGCATAGAACCATATTGTATTCTTTCATAGATACAGTGCAACAGTATACTGTATATATTTTTCTTAAAGGAACACCATGAGTTTAAGATGTAGCTGTATTGTAATCCATTTAAAAACTCTGTTTATTCTTAATTATCCCTGCTATTCTCTGAAGGTTTGCAATAATGTACTGTATTTGTTCATTTTTCTACTTTCTGCTTTTAAACTCTAGAGTGAA